GCAATGTGCTCTAGATGACTGCTACAGCAGGAGGGTTGGACTAGATGATCTCCAGAAGTCCCTTCCAACCTTGGCCGTTCTGTGATTCTGTGATTCTGTGATTCTCCATGTGTGGGCAGTCAGAAAGACCAAAGGCTGGACATGGCCAGATGTTGGTAGGAACGTCTGATGGTCTGTGTGATGTTCACCCATCATATATACAGGAGGCCAACATGCACCATGTCTGTATATCTAAGTCTACTGAGAAAAAGGAAACAGCTAGCAGCCCCTTAACTCTTCCAATAAAATCCACCCAAAGACAGAGCACACATAAATTCTCTCTCTCATTTGATTTACTACAGAAAATCGATTTTTCCTTCTAGTTTGTCCTCATGACCTCATTTGGGTTTGGAAGAATGTTCTCTTTAAATATATGCTTCTATTGTAAGCTTCTGTGGGCATATCAAATGTGCATTAAAATAGTTAGGCAGTGTCTAGCACAAGAAGCCTTAATCTTTCATTGAAATTTATATTCTCTGGAAAGTCACACTTGAAAATTTTGTAAAAAAAAGAGAAAAAGGCTTTGGAAAAGTATTTTCATTCCTTCTTTTCACAGTCACTTCTACCAACCTGCTTTTAGACCAATCAGACATCTTGAAAATAGTAGTTAGAAACAAAGTACTGAAAAAATACTCACTCAATTTTCGGTGCAGGCTTCACCAGGAGGTTTACTTGCAGCCTTTTGGCAAATTGTAATGTAAAACCAGTGATCTAAGGACAGAAAGAAAACAAAAGGCATTACTTCAAATTTGGCAAGTCGGGGGCATAAGCTTATAATATGATCTGTGTCAAAAAGCACCGTAGTGTTCTCTTATTCTTATGGTTACATCTAAGGGTTACATTTTCATGAAATTTGTGTGTTTCTAAGGGTGTTTCATTCTTCCTAGATGTTCTAATCTCTTAGCTTTACTATAGTTGCTTTTGTAATTGTCAAATACTGGAGGTGATAAAAATGCTAAAACATGGTAAAGATGTGAATTCAGATCTTCTCACTGAAGGTAGATGCTTAACTATCAGATTATATGACTAAAAAATACTTTGGTGAAAAAGTCTGAATTTTACCTTTTCATACACATTCAGAGCAAAATAAAATTTTGAAACCTTAGAATTCATAATACAATTCAGATAACTGATTAACATACTTAAAATCAAGAATGTCTAAATACATTCGTTTGGGGAGCTCTGCTGGACAGTCAGAGTTACAAAGAACGTATTAAGTCTGTTCTAGAATCAGACAACTGGTTGTACTTCAGAGTTCTAGCTGTTTTCTTGGAAATAAACTGATCTATATTTATTTCCTTAAGTTCAGTTGTGATAATAATTATACCAAAATTGCTACTGATGGAAAATGAAAGAAAACATAAAGTATAGAAGGAAGAGAGAGGCTTTGGTAGAAGAGAATGTTCTTAAAGTACCTGAAAATCACAGATTAATATCATAGCATAAATTAAAGCTTTTCAGAATCCGTTCAATCTAGTCTTACCAATGACTAGAAATCCAAACTTATTTTTCAAACTTTGAAGGGCAGAATAAGACAGAGTACTGCTTTAAATTTCCCCTGCTAAGAGCTAAACACCTTTGTGAGCAAGTCTTAAAAAAAAAAAGCATAAAAATACTGGATCCTCTTTTCATCCCTTTGTTATAAGATTTACTCTACTGAATTTAAACATTACTAGTTTACTGAGTTGCAGATATTAAATATTTGGACTTACAGGCTCTATGTCTAAAAATGTCTCATGCTCCTCCTCATTTGGGCTCAGGCCTTCAACATCATGCAATATAGAACTACTTGCATGCAGAAAATGTGGAAGAGAAATAAACACTGGTCTTCCTGTTTGAAAAAGCAGATAAACTTATTTGAATCATTTAAGCCTTGTTTCATTGTTCATCTTCTAAAGCCGTTTTCCGCGCAAACATATTTAGCTATAAAGACACACAAACGTTTCTGAAAAAACAGTCAATACACTAAAACAAAGGAAGATTTGTGAGCTACTGTGATGCTACTGGTAGGAAGACAATCTGCATAGTGAAATAGGGCTGGAAGTGCTTCCATTTTCACTCTGAGGTGAGAACCAGACCTTCACTATTTCCCCCAACCTTCATGATTTTGTTTTAGTAGGATGAAAGACAGAAGGGAACTCATGCTGCCTACTCGGCGCCAAACTCAGACTGTGTATGTGTTAGGTTTATTATACCTGTGCTAAATTAAACCAACACAGTCTCTCAGCCATGTATACATGGTTAATATACTGAGTGTGAGAATTATCATGAATATACGGACTGTGACTCTCTCTGGCTTTTATGCAGTAGCTATGGAAGACCTCTCTTTTCCTTTCTATATGTGTATTCCTACAATTTCAGTATATCATTTTTAGTATCATGATTTTTCTTTTTCACAGCACTATGTAAAACGGAAATTGTATAGTCCTCATTTTGGGAAATGAGGCTACAGAAAAGTGAAGGATCTCATAGGCAATCTGTGGAAGAATTCATAGAGAAAATCCAAGTGTCTGGGGTCTTAGAGTAAGTAACACCTCAGCTCAGGACAAGTGGTTTCTCTCCAGATAGATGGCTTGCTCAGCAGTACCACGTTACTACTATACCTGCTTTGCAGGCACTGATGTCTAGGACTCCGGCTAATGTGCAGTTCTGTGATATGACGTAGTCTGTACAGAAGCAGTAATTATCTTTAACTTCAGCAGGCGATGCAAATGCTTCACGGGGAACTGTGAAACGGTAGAGTGGGATCCCCTTCACAGTCTGCTTGCTCTGAAAAACTCCATAGATCGATCTGAATTAAAAAGAGGAGAAATGTGTCTCAGTCATTTGGATTACAAAATTGAATCCATAGTAATACTCCTTAGGGATCCCCTGACTGTCTTTGTCTTAAAGTAAAAAAAGTTCTCCAGAGAGCCAATGACCAGGATCCCTTTACACTGTTCTCAGCAATTTGTAGAGGTGCTCCTCTTTTATGGACAGTTATTCTATGTTTACACAAAAGGATATGCAAGCACAGGTAAGCACATCAATACACAAAAAAAAGGAAGATAAAATATTTGTACTAATAAATCATATATAATAAACTAATAAACAGTTCTTTTCTCTATGGACTTCTTCAACCACTGTTCTTATGAAATGTTTGCAGTTTTTAGGACTACATTACACGTACTTATCAAAATAAATCACCTCTGTTACAGTTTTTTTTACTGACCTGATGATACCAATCTAAGCTTTATGGTGGAGACAGCCTCCTAGGTATAACCCCATAGCTCATTCCATTGCATATGAATCAGAATACCACTTTAGCTTCTTTTTGCCAAATTATTATCCTCTAGTATATAGATGTGGTTGTTACAAACTAATGTAGCCTGTGCAGCAATGTTTTGTATCATAGTCAAGAAAAACAAGGGTTCTAGGTCTTACAACACAGCCAAAATAACTTTCCTTGAACCATTTAAGAGCAAAACTTTGGGAGACTGTTACTGCTCTTCTTCATTGTTTAGTAATTGAGAGAAATAGATGGCCAAAGAGATCTCACAACCTGTGTCCGATTGATTCAAAGGTATACGATTTCCTTTTCTGTAATTTGTGAAATGCATTCCAGTTTGGGGGTCCAATTACTTCACAAATAAAAAACCTAACTTCACGTAAAAACATTGATTTTTCTTTAAAAATAAATGGTTTTCAAAGCAAATGGTCCACCTTAAACCTAGTCAAAAGGAGGCAGGCAGCAACATAAATAAAAAGGCTGAACCTCTCAAAGCGAATATACTCTGATGCACTTTAGATCTTCTAATATTGCTTTCAACTCTACCACTGGAGAACTCAGGGACACTGAATAGCCACAGTAGAAGCAGCAGCCTGAAAATCCATCAGTATGGGATGAATTAAGCAGTTTTGTTTGTTTGTAAGCACATAAAAATAAAATGCACAAAAATATCCTGTGAGAAAGTAATTTTTAGTATGTATTGCTTGACAGTGAGTTCTGTTTTGTATAGATGTTGTTCTAATGAAATCCCCAAGATGGGCTTAACTGTTTCCTGCTATATCTATTCCTAGGGGTAAATTGCGTTCTTAGACCAAATAAGGCAGGTTGTAAGGTCTGGTCTTGGAAGAAGTTCAAGACTTTGAATCCAGTGAACCTCAGTGTCTTTCACAGGTCTGTATTAGCTCACACCATTGTCTCTCACTCTGTGAAATTAAGCAAAGTTATTCCTGAATCACAAATCTGTAACTTGCTGAAATAGCATGCACTGTGAATAGCTTGCTACTTGACATAAATAGAAGTGGAAGAATTAGGCTGTAAATCATGAGCACAGCTCATTAATTTGCTTGAGCGTAGGTGAAACATTTCTGCTTAAATGCCTCAGTGACCTGAGCCCAGGCAGAGCCACTGCAGCAATCCTCTGCAACTAAAGGGCGTTTTGGTGGCACACGGAGCTATGTATGCACAGTAGTAAGAGAACAGCGTACCTGCAAATATCAGAGGAGAAGAAACGAAGTACCTGATCCTTCTTAACAAACGGGGGAAACGATGCCCCATCTGTGAACAAATAAAATAAGAGCTTGAAAGCAATTCTGTTTACAAGATATGATTTAACTTATAGTTCAATGTTCAGCTATTACTTTCCCATAAAGCAGTGAAATAGATAAACAAAACTGAGTCATTTTTAGAGAAAATGTTTACCTAAGTTATTGCCTAGTGATAGGTACTCCACAGATAAGACTGCCTTTTTTTTTGAAGGCAAGCCAAATTGCGGCAACTAATTTTTTCATGATGTGAAGCTTCATGATCATGCCAATTAAAAAGAGAGGATACAAAAAACAATCCTGCTTAGCAGGAATCCTATTTCCTGTTATCATTGCTTCAGGGTTTATGCAGTCTAGAGGTTTAAAACCTTTCTAAAGATGCTTGGCTCATCTGGAGTTATGGTACTCAGCACCTATAAGGAACACGGGTTTAGACTTCAAAACTGCATATTTAATAAACAGCACTAAACTTTTTTCACCAAGGACTGCTCAACTGGAACTCTTCTTTGTTAAGCATAGAGCCTTTCTATAGTTAATGGAGAGAATGAAACTCTTCTAGGGCAAGTTCATCTTATCCCATGGTAGACGTGCAAAATAGGTCAGAGGAATAATACTTTGGTGAGGGCTTCTGTCCACTCGGTATAAAAAAAAACGTCGCTAGTTCAAATGTGTATTTCTATATTGCACCCATCTAGAGTAAGGTAAGAGGAGTTTCCGCATTGCATCAAACCTTGTTACTTCTTGCTACAATTTCTGTTTAGTTTCTTAGTCAGCAGCCATAGCCAAAGAATCAAAAACATCTGTGATATCTTTGAATTGAGTTGGCGAGAGTAAGAGTATTAAATTATACACTGCTGCCTGCCCACTGCTGAGGGAAGCATTTTGTCTTAAAGAAGATCCAAGATCGTCCTGGAGACACACTCTATTTCTAAATCGTGGCAGATTGGGAGAGTTTGCAAAAGCTGACTCATTTCAAGCCCTGTACAGGAACACTGTTTGATCTTATTATCTAGTTATTTGCTTTAGTACGATACAGAAAAACATTCTGCCTTTCAGTGTGAAAGTTTACAAGACACAAAGGAATTCTCACACGTATTTACAAGACATTGTAAAAGTCTCTAAACACATGTTGTCTCATCATCTGCCACAAAGACTGCTCATGTAAGCTGTGTAACAATCTTTGCTATTAATAAAATGCTCTCCATTTTCACGGTACTGGAGCACTCAGTCTAGTTACCTGCATGTGTTTATTCTATCAGCTGTGGGAGAAGAAAAAGAAAAAGCTGACAATAAGAAAAGACATTCAGGGTCCATAAGAAAAGTCCCACAACCTAGGAAGACATTGCCTGGTACAAAAAAACTTTCATAGTCTAAAAAGGAGCTAAACTTTCCTGATTCATAGTCTTCTGGAAACTCAGATTCTTGTGAAATATTTGAAATACTTCGAAACCACATGTCATACGCTCTGGGTTATAAGCAGAATGATCTGCACTAAAACAGTACAGCAAAAATAAACCTGCTTGTTTTCAGATTCTCTCATTGATGGCCAGCTGAGAAGTTTTCATGAAAGCTAAACTGCTCAAAATTTCTTGTGTCCTCTGTTGTTGTTGCTAGGACAAAGTCCCGTAAGGTTCACTTCTCCGTCCTCTGCTGTTTCTCTTCTACTTCTGTTATGAAATCTCCTTTCTCCTCTCTGGATATTTTACCTCTACCTAAATCTTATCTTTTGCTTACAAAATAGTAAATCACAGAGATATTTTAAATGATCATCCAGTGTGCAATGTCTTTTGCTCCTTGTTTTTGACCAAATGAATTAGCGGCTTCTTCTGAATTTCATTCAGCTGATTGCTTCATAGAGAGATATGCTACACACACCTTTAAATATAGTTCTGCCATTTTCTATGTGACTCAGAGCTCACTATCATTAATGCAAAAAGCTTCTCTGTGACATCTGCCAGGCTAGTCCCAATGTGTTCTGATGTCCTCAAAGTGACACTCACTCATCAAGAAACAAACATATCACCTTGAATAAAAATACCCTTGAGCAGGTTGACTGTTTTCATATCCATTCCAAAAGCAAATTCAAAAATGTTCTTCTCTATTTGGTTGACCCCTGACTAACCTACACCTCTTCTCTCTCCCTTTTTATCTCTACTCTCCTTCAAACTAGATTGTCCGAGAGTTTTTTCCCTTGCCACCTCAATTTCTGCAGCTCATTAACTCTCCCTGTCTTTTCAGACCTCAGGAAAAACTTGTGTCCATTATGGTGCTTCTAATTTTATTCTACAACAGTGAAAGTGAATTTACAGCATTGCAAGGCAGAGGTAATTTTCAACTACTATGCTAAAGAAAAGGAATCTTAATTATATTATAATATGCAGACAACTAAAAGAAAGAGAGAGCTGAATTCTTTTCTAGTATCTCTTCCTGTCTACTGTAGCTGAACATGTGTATGTGTATGTGTGTATGTATATATATATAAAAAATAATGTTTAATATATTTATAAAAAAGTATAATAATCTATAATATTCTACATCTATAAGATAATAGATATACACATACGCATGTAAGTACTACGTACACATACATATTTATATAGACATTTAATAAGCAGAATGCAAAACTCTATGTATACAGAAAAGACCAGGGCAATTAACTTGATAATTGTCCCCTACGATACCAAGAAATGTGTTGAAGTTTTAAAAAGCTTTAATAGGCTCACCTGTGCCATTAACCAAGTCACAGTGACCTTCCCAGTATGAAAGATTCCTTTAAGATTAAAAAGAAAAAAAGTCATGCTGCATGTAGTATATTGTATAATGTAATTCTTTTTACTGCTAAGCCTCACTGCTCCAATATAAGCTTGATTCATCAGCAGAGTCACAGGATAGTGATGTTAACTTATATATTCAGATAAGCTGTATAAAGTCTTAGAATTAGATAAAAGGGATCTAGCTACTTCAGTATGCAGAACTGAAGCAACTATTTGCATCAAAGAATCAATAATTGTCTCGGATCCAAGCTCACAACAGAATCGTGAATAGCTGGAAAGGAGAGGTGGTTTTGCTACTCCTGGGGCTTGGTGCAGAATTCCCTGGAATTGCTGACGATCTTCCACTTAGCTATAGCTGTTAGTGAAACAAGCCTTAAAAGCTGTATTTTGAAAATATGTGCATTTTTTCCTATATAGAATGCTATGATACCTTTTGTTCTTATAGGTGTCAATTATTGCTGTTTTGCTTATGTCTTCTTTCCCAGTAAAAACTCTATAAAGTCCATCATATGTCCCATTATACTGTAACAGACGCAAGAAAAAAGAATAACAGTTAGATACAGCGACACAAGGGATTTTTGTCAGGTTTTTCTTCCTAACAGCGATTGTCTTAATCTTTATTCCCGGAACAGTAACTGAAGACTTTCCCTCCTAATCGGTTTCACTTACCGGATAGAAGACTCCCAGAACTGGGTTCAAGGGGAAGGGGATTTTGCTCAAGAAGGGATCTTTGTATCCCCACAGTATTTCTTTCACTGTTCTATTCTGCAGCATGACTGACTTAGAAGATTTCATCCAAGTGTTTAATAGCAGTTGTATGAAAGCGTTTGTGTACAGAGCTGGTGCAGCCTACAACAGCAACAAAATTAATGATTAGTATAAAATTCTGGGTGTACTTTGGATCAAAAATACAGAGACTGACTCCAAGGAACCTCTGGCAAAGCTGGTAATTAAAGCTGAATTTTAAAGCTGCTGCTTGCTGTAAGTTAAATTTCTACTTAAAACTGACACTCATTAATGAAACATTTAGTATAATTATATAAAAACAGATAATTTGTCATTATTGTTCACATGAGTTCACTAGAGAGTTCCTAATCTCTTTGTACCTCAGGTCCATATCATATATTAGAGATTGCAACACTTTCTGGTTTTCTACCTCTTCTCTATCACCTCCATACGTCACGTTCTTCAGACTCACTCACATTATATATGTGTATTACAAATATATGGGCCTTGCTATTTTTTGACTGTGGTTCATATTTTCTGTGGTGACACCAGTAACAATATGACTGCGTTCTGCACAGAGCTGATGAAGTACAGACTCTCCAGTATTTCTTTTCTCAGAAAGAATTTTTTTTTTTGGCAAACATCCTTTTTTTCTGTACAGTTCTAATTATAAATAAAAGATACACTTTTCGTATTTCAACAAAGAAGAATGTGGTATTTTACCAGCATTAATTGGAATGAACATATCCAGAGATCTTAACACAAAACCAAGTCCTTAAAGTCACTGAACAGCTCGTGGAAAGGGAACAGAGATGATCTATTTTGGCTGTTTGGTGAAGCGGGAAGTGGCAACGATTTTGATGAGTAAATTTATGTAAAAACGAGTGATGCTCCTAAGGTGAGTGTCCAACTCAGGCCCTTTAGCAGACTCTCTGTTTGTGTTTAGCGCTATGGGGAGAGGAATTGGAGAGCTAGAGCCAGCCAGAAGGTGAAATTAAGCAAGACACAGTTGATCCCTCTGCTGATCTCTCTCTCTCTCTCTCTCTCTCTCTCTCGCACACTTTTTTTTTTTGGCCTCTGTTTCCCCATGAATCTTTCATTCTTACCTGGACTTGAACCCAGAGTAAGCAGAAATCATGGATAAGGCAAGATTATGAGACAGAGGAGACGTAGGCTCAGTTCCCTCAGGGCTAAGAAAGTGTGAAAGATCTCTCTCAGTTCTGTGAGTGTTTTGACCACAAAGTTATGACGCAAAAGGTGAGCTCTGCTTCTGCATTCGAGTCAGTGCTGTTAAGTGAGCAAGGCAGAGCCTCTCTGGGAATTTGGGCTTATCCAAAGCACACAGAAATATCTGGAGTGAAAAAAGGTACAGCCCTGTTTAGATGGGGTATCCTGAGCATTTCTTAAAAAGATGAAGATCTCAACAGAACAGGACAGCTCAGGGACAGCCGCTGCAATGGTGCTAATTGGCACCACTGTTAAAAGCTGTGGCAGTGAGGCCACGCATAGGCTGAGCTCGGGGTTTAATATGGGCTCCTCTGCAAAGCAGGACTGGAGATACTGAGAGTCTGGAAACCTGCCTGATACTATTCATGCTGCGTCTCAGATAGACAGGGAATCTATTCACAAGCTCTTGACTCATTCCCACACCAAAATTGATCAGAAAAATGCCTTTGGATACATCCCATCCAAGCGGATGACTTTGGTTCTATTGACACTAACAAGTCAATTTTCATTTTCAGCTAAGCTGGCATTACTCGGCGAGCATAAGGAAACCTTGAAGTAACTGCAATGTATCTTCAGAATGATTTTTTTTTTTCTGAATACAGTGATGCAATTGTCTTCAGCATAGATGACGCTCATGTCTTCTAATGTTAGCTAACTGGTGTTAACTTCTTCCCTTTTTCCCATAGCATCTCAACACTCACATTTGGATATTATGGTTTCATTTCTTTACTTACAACAACAGCAAGGTTGAGGCATGTAATGGTATCATTTTCCGTTCCAACAGACATATCAGGTTCAAAATGAGCAACATTAGGCAACATATAGGATATTGTTCCATCAGGATTTTCAGTGATATTTTCTTTGGGTAAATATCTCACCCTTGAAATAAAAAATAAAACATAGAATATATTTAACATTTGATTTTCAAGTCAACGCATAACCATACATGATGGAAGTTGATGGAAATGCTGATGAACACTTCTGAAGAAGAATATTGAGCATTTTATGACCGTTTATGACACTAAAAAGAGGCTTAGTGTCTCACTGTGAACATTTGTGAAAATTCTGTTTTATATAAAATATTTTTGTTTTACAAATATTTCCTTAATGCCTAATAGAAATTTCTTCATGACACTAAAATCTCAAAAAAAAAAATTTTTACCTTTCATTTCAATTGAGGACCTTGTACTTTTTTTTGTTCTGAATTAACTGTTTCAATCACATTGTTTTCTAAGCTTTCTTGTGCTTGCATGTTAACAGAAAGGGGTGACTGGGAATGGTCAATAAACACTGTGAAGATCTGTTTTCCAGGCCTGAATTGCCGTGAAAGAGATGATTACAAGTTAAATCCATCCTGGGAGTGCCTTTGTTACGTTTCATACGTGTGTATGGTTATAAGCACTCTTTCAGCACAACTGAGATGATCAAAAGTGCATCTCAAGTGCGCCTTTAAGTGCCCTTATTTCTGTCAGGAGATCACTCTGATACAAATCTCTGACCACTGACAATTCCAGCTTTGGTCCTGTTCTTTATCTCTGTGTCCCCTTGCTGCCCTCCTGCAGAGGCAGAGACCAGCAGGCGTTGAGTGACGTTGGGTGTTGTTGTGTGACTTCGCCTATGCTGTGGCCGAGGAAGCACATCGCAGCTCCTGGTTGTGGGGGTGAGCTGCTACCACACTGTGACTCTGTGTCAGGACAATATCTGGGCCCTTTTCATCCCTCTTACTCCATGGCTCCTAAGCGTAAAAAAACAGGGATGTCGGACCAAGGGGGTCTTCAATGTACTCCATCAGATCTTCCAGTATGCACTGTCGTGGAGGGACCAAAAGGTTCATAGAGCATTTTCCCACAGTACAGACATAACCAGTAGCACTGGTTTCCTGAAAGAAATTGGGATCATGGCTTCTCAAGAGTGGTTTCTGGCTACCTCAGATATCCCTGATCAGGGATGTGAAATCACCTTCTACTTCCCAGGTGAGTGTACCTGCAGTAGTGAGAAGGGTAGCAGCATTATTTCTTATATAGTCTCATCCGAGCATGAGGTAAAAATTTATCCCTGAGAAGGTAGGTACCACCCTCTACTGAGAGTAAAGCATTTCTGTATCATGGAAGTTCCCTTCCAGGAGTTTCCCTGGTACTTTGTCATCCCACCCTGCGTAGTTTTCTGACTCCTGTGGAATCAGTTCTTATGTTTTCCTATGTAATGTACAACCATTGAGAAACAAATTATCTTTTAGGTATCAGAGCACCTCAGCTTCAGATGCTGCAGTCCAAAACAGTCTTGTAAATACATCTCCAAAGATATTAATAAAGAAATATCCTATCACTTTAGGAAAGTGATTACTGTGCCAGTGACTGACGGGTGTTGGACTTAGTGATGTAGGAAGTATGAACTAGTCCTATGGTGAAATCACCGTTAAACAAATGATTAAAAGTTTTCCTGAATGGTGATGGGCAGTTGCATCTGGGCCCCAGCTACTACATCCAGAAAAAGGAATACTTTTCATAGAAAAACTTGGAAAAGGAATCCATATAGATTAAAAAAGTCATAAAGGAACAATGAAACAAAATACATTATTAAAATTAATGATCTCATGATTTTAGGGCATCTAACAGATTTTTTTTTATTAAAAGGTTGGCAAAAACTGATCAGCAACAAATACGTATGCCTATGTATTTTTATGCTAAATAGCTTATTAATGAACAATAATTTTTCACAAAAGCAAATAGCTTCACATCTAATTGTCTATTTTTATATACATTTTCCTATTGTGAGATCCAGTACAGAAACTGTTTATGATTGCTGTGAGTAACTTCAAATATTTTAAGCATTTCTGTCAAGTCTGGCTAAAACATTACTCTGAACTTTCAAGAGCAAATTCTAATTCAACAGAACTTCCTCTGGCGTTAACAAGACTTCTGATATGACATCTCACATATTCAGGGTCTTTTGCTTACCTGTATGTATACGGTCCTCTTTGTTCAAGTTTTGGATGAGCTCCAGAGTTTAATACTTCTGATGGATTTTGCACATCAAAGATCCAAAATTGCCTGTAAACTGTACTTCCTGGCACAAGCCAATTTTCAAAAGCAATGGTACCATTTGAAATGACAGTGTCCTACAAGGACAAAAATTACAAGGACAGAAAAAAGCTTAAGTTAACTGCGGAAAAGTGAGTGACAGGCAGCATTTACTTTGCAGATGACTGTAGAAGGCATCCAAAAAAAAAAAAAAACAGAAAGAAAGCTATTTTATCATCAGATAAGGGATAAGGAACGCATTTTTGGCCAACGCTTGAATGTAGACTGACAATCCTGAGAGCAAAAAAGAGGCGCTAGAATAAGTGACCATAAATCTGATATAAACGCCATCACTGTTCATAGCACAGCTTTCCTATGGACATGACTGGACATTCCCTTAGATCCCAAAAATTTGCCAAATCCATTGGATATTTGTAAAAGGAAAACCTTTAAATGATTGACCTATACCCAGCAGTTTTTCAAATCTATAATCTCCTTTTCATACATTTGCTAATATCCCAGGAGACAAAGAGTGTTATATCTGCGCATTACTCATACAGTAAGCCATTTTGCACATGCAGAAGGCAAACAGTGTTCTTGTAGGACTATTTCTAACCAGAAAACTGCTGTTACAAAAACTGAGATTTTCTATGAAATATCACTTTCCACTGAGAATGATTCCCAGGTCCAGGAAATAACAGCAAAATATGGACATAAGGACAAAATAGGACCTCAAGAGCCACTCTAGACTAACCAACTACTTTATGTTGATGGTATTCAGACAAAATATTGTAAATGCATCTATAACCCTTTGGATTGTGGAGCCACTTGGACAGTGAAAGGAGGAGTCTGAAGATATACTTTCTATAGTGCAGGGAGAATGCCTGCTCTGCCTGGTCTGCACCAGACCTCTTTCTCTGTGACTTTTGCGGAGCCTCGGGATAGTGCAGATTTTCCCCTTGTGGTAAAAATTTAGAGACGTTTTTGCAATAAGAAGAAAAGTCCAAGCTGCCCAAATCCAAAGTATAAAATTCTTTTTAATAGTAATGTGGAATATTAATTAGTTAATTTCCACAGCTCTCAGAGTAGCAGAAAGCAAAAAGCTGGAATCCCTCCAGACAGTTCTGAAGAAGGAAAAGACATTTAAAATTACCATTTGCCAGATTTTCTTTCTACCATAACTTTATGCCATTTGATTTGCTTAGCAAGGATCATCAAAAAAAAAAAAGAATGCCACTAATTAAGAACCACTGCAGTCAGCAGTAAATGCTGTGTCTTGCAGAACACTTCACATAGACAGAGCTTTGTCTGAGTAAAGCCTGTTTGTATGGTGTATTTGTAAATGCCCTGGTGGTGTAAATTAATGAGGTTTTCTGTCTACATATCTGCTTTAATTTATGTGCATTTGTGTGAGAGGGGAAGGAAACTTGGCAGCGGCAACCGTTTTATCAGCTTGAAGTCTTGTACTGAGACCCTACTATAGCTAAAATTCTTTTTGGCCTTTTTTTTGGCAAACTTCAGGAGGCCAAGGACTCTGACATAGCTGCAATCCAGACTTCAAGGCATTTTTGGAGGTAGGGCAGGCCATCTCCTTGGTCATCTACTTCCATAATTCCTTTATAGGTGAAAGATAAATGGTTACATGATTTGGATTTGTTTTCAGTTTTCCCAGAGAATTACTCAAAGGATCTGAAAAACACATGTTGCTATAAAAGAAACATGCAACTTAGTCCGATCACAATCTGGCTGTAGTCTGTGCTCATCAGGATTCATGGATGGAGTCACACGTGAGCATTTAACCTACTGCTTCAGCTTAACTGGAATGGGGAAATGGTTAAGGATTCCTGCCAGCCACAAACCCAAGAGGACACAGCACTAACCTCTCTAGAAATCTACAGCATATAGACACAGTAGTGAATAGAGAAATGTTTTAAAGAAGCGGTGTTACTTGCTTCTTAAAAAAACTGCAGTTTTCCCCTCCAGCCATACTGTCCCCCACACACTTTTAGCACCTATGCTAAGTGTTATAATAGCACAGAACGATTCGCTAACTCCCCTACTGATGCACAGTTTGCCCTGCCATAGGATGCCCCCTCCCATCCTTGAGAGACAGGGAAATAATGTCCTACCTGCCTCTGGCTTTAGAACTGTCAAGTACTTTGAAAAATGTTCCTTCTGCGGTTGCCATATCTCATGATCTTGAGCTGACTTGGAAGAATATAAGGGATATGCTTCCTCCCAGCTTTCTCTATGCAAGTGATTTTATTTTATCAGAAGGGTAAGTCTTTGTCTTTCATCCCATCTTTGCTATTGCAGGGAAAGTTGAGAAAGATCATGCAGGACTTTATACTAGCTTTTTAATACAACAAGGACAGCTTTCCATAGAAACTGAGCCGGTAGGCTAAGTGAAGATCCTTTTCATGTACTTTCTTCACTGCACTTCATTGCACAGTACTACGTACTTCTTTATCAATCTAGAACCAATTTACTGTCCTCAGTGCCTAAACAGGTAGGGCAGTTGTCCTGCACTTTTCATGCAGGAATAACCACCATGCCTGAATTATGCCCTGGGAAATGTCTTCGAGCATTGTAAGAAGAGGCCCCAGGGATTTGCCCACACGGGGCAGCCAGGTCAGAGCGAGTTAATGTGTGAATTTGCCACCCACTGTTTACTCTGCGCTAATGGCCCGTGGCCACTGTCAGGGAAAGCTTTGACAGGACAGCCGACCCGATCTAACCGCTTGGCAGCCCAAAGGGCGACGCCAGCTTCCACAGCCTCCCCGCTATCCAACCCACGCGCCTCCCCCTTCCTTTGTGCCAGCTCTGGCTCCTCGGGGAGTTGGTTCTGCTTGCTGAACTAGAGGCACATTATTTCCTTTCTTTTTTGCTGGGTTAGCTTTCTGCCAGTGAGTTGCTCAGCTCACTGCTGCGGATGGGGGAAGAGTCAGATGAACGCCACAGCTGGCACAGGAGAAGCAACAAGACAAAGAAGGGAGGAGAGGAAGGGAGCAAGACCAGCATTTTCAGTGCTTTGAAGGCTTTATTCTTATTAATTTACTCCTCCCATGAAGGAGGTGTGTATGAGTCTCTGTCATACACTTAGAGAGTGCAAATGATGAGTTAAAGTAGAAGAAGATCTAGAGTTTAGTCCTTATTTGTGTTCTCATTCAATAATACTAATTTCCTCACACCAGCAAGCCCTTGGCTTTCATCTGGATGATCACTGGTGAGGCCAGCCCTGAATAGTACCCCTCTCTGTGGCTGATCATGCCTATATTCCCCTAGTAAAATTGCCATACTTTCCTTCCACTGATTTTATGAAAGGTAGGGTAATCACTACTAATTTGCAACTGATAATCCACATCTCCATAGTCAACTTCCTTCAGCTTCTGTAATTTCTAATATCTTACACAATGGTTAACTACTGTTAGCAAAAGTAATTGTACAATATGCAATTGCTACACAGCTAAGTTCATCTCATGACCTAATTGTGCAAGAGTCTGAGTGAAACTAACTGGAACTTTATCTGCTTTTGTTTCTGCAATAACTTTTTCCTGCTTTTGATGGGTCAACTAGCAATACCAAAATTCAATAAATGCTGAGGCAGCCAGCAATAGAACCTTGCTCTACTCCAGTGCTTTACAGTAAATCCAGTCCTCATGATTTCTGAGTAAGAAATACAATATGATAAAAAGTTTCTCTTTTGACAAAGGATCTGGACAGATTGATAAAAGATGGCGTTTTCTGGGAATTCAGAGATCTTGTGTCTTGAATACGTCAGGCAGCAAGAAGACTGCTACTAGTTTATACGTTATATGTGCTCTGCTGCAGACATAAGTTTGAGAAAACAAGCATTACAACTCTGTAAAACTGAATTAGCTGAGTTCCAGGGAAGCAAGTAATCTTGTTTTTCCATTTTGCAACTGAAAGTAGGAATACCTGTTTATTACTTTTGAAGTGATGAAGATTCCCATGTGTATTAACCTTCCTATTCAGGCATTGTGGGAGCAAAACTTTTAATTCTTTTTCACTCCTTGACTATAAAAAATTAAGGAAGTCAATGAACCTTATAATCAGTAATGCTGGAATATATGTGATTAGATCCTTTATGTTCTGCTAAGAGCCAGCAATTGCTTTAGCTTTACTGGTTTAGATCAAGAAGCCGCATCTGACTTTCACAGACACAACTGTAAATCAGAGAAGTATTTCTATCGCTACAAGCGGCTGAGGGGAAAAATCTGGATAACAAATATTTAGAAAGACAGATGACTAAGTATAATAATAGATAACATTGATAGCTTTATGGCTAAAAATAGCTAAGACTAACCCTGAGGACTCTACAAAAAGAGTGCGGTGCTGAGATATTGTGGCAAAATATATACCAAGCTGTATTACCAATTCATCACAAATTTATTATATTGAGTAACATTCTGTGGCTTCTGTTTACCTCCTGAGTTTACATTTACTAAGATAGAGAGCAAAAGCTCTCACAGAAGTGGTGATAAAAAAATTTCCGGTAAATGAATTAGCTAACAATAAGTTTGAGTGATTAGACCTTGCTGGAAAAAGAAACAGATTAGCTGAAAAATAAGTTCTATCATAACTGAAACAATGGGAATTTTGCTGAGGTAATAATATTCTGTTTAGGGAAGGAAAGGCAAAAAGTAGTAATTTAGCCATGCCAAAACATCTCTTTTCAAAAATTTCAGATAGAAATTTTCTGATTTCCTGTTTTGAACTGCCTTTTCCTCTTGATTTTTTTTATTGCTGCATGATCATAGACAGGATAGTATATAAAAGAAATATATAGAGTCAGTTAAAAATGTACATGAAAGCGTGATGTTTTAAGTTTCATTCTAACTGCAACAATGACAGTTTTCTAAACCACTAAATCCTTCATCGAATGACAACTCTTGTCCTCTGCATAGCTGCACTGTTTGGGGAAACTAGGATTTTTATTCTTTGTTACTGAAATGGAAGGCACCTTTTAAGGGGGAAATCTCTCTGCCCTAAATAGTACCAGCACTGAAATAGCTCAGCACTAATCTTGTTCAGTGGATCCCAGCCAAGATACTGCTACTGGTGGTGTCAATTTGAGTGTGCTCTTCAAGCGACAGGTTCTTTAAGCAGTCACTAAAAAGATTCAAAAATATATAATGTTTAAATTCTTTAAAACCCCCTGCTGGATGCAGAGGTGGAAACAGCTTAATCAAATAAGATCTGAGACACAGGAATAGCAGTGTTGGATTAGAAAACATATCAATGAGTCCTGTGCTGAAGTATAGCTCTATGTTAATAAACCTGTGTGAAAAGGTGACATTTTGGTATTATATGTTACACGGACTTTGTTTTAAAGAAAGATGGAAAGCAATACCTGTCTGCTAGGAGATAACAGACTTTTCGATCAGATTTCTAGGCACACTTGAGTTTGCATATGCTTCGCAGATACTTTCTCCTTGCTGCAAGAACAACATGCAGCCTTGCAAGAAGATATGTTGTGCAGTGTTTATTCAGCCTAATCTCTCAATGACTGCAATAAAGATTAAATGAGGCCTCTAGGGCTTGGCCTACCAAAGGGACCTGTGCTTGAGCAGCAGCAGTGCTCAGCCTTTTGTCGCTAGCAGAACTGAAAAAACCATTGATGGTATGGATTTTGGAAACTCAAGCTGTCCCAATTTATTGGGAAATACCAGCAAATTCAAGGGAACTTGCTTGAGAACAAACTCATCATTATGTGATTTGAATAAATCATCGCAATGGATTAATCTATGACAATTTGACTCATAATAGTATGAAGTGTCCTAAATCTATGCAGCTAAGAGAAAAATTTTCAATGCTTGTTTCTCTGATCCAGCAATAACATTTTACAATAAAATTAATTGCCCCTAGAAGTATAAACCCAGTCTTACTGCACTACTAACTTTTGCAAACAGGAATTTACTTTGGGATAGATTAGGCAGAGGAACACCTGGGGCTCTCTTTTCAGGTTTCAGACTGTGCAGAATTTTAAGGGATAATTTGCTTGCAAAGGTGATGTCTTTAATATTTTTTCTCTTTAATTAAAAAGCTTTTCTTTTTACATCTCATGCCGAATGAAATAGACATCCTAAATTTTGTCACAAGGAAATGTGTACGTGATGTGTGAAGAACGGTGAATAGTTCAGGAGGACCCAAGTTCAGTCTTTGCCCTGTATCAGTCAAAATGGAAATATAAATTTATATGGGTCGTATCTGAGGGAACATCTTAATCATTAGGTTTTCTCCCTTTCTGAGAGTCTCTATTCTTAACAAACTCTGGATAAGATTTTCACTGAAACTGGTCTGTTTATACCAAACTTTTCTTTTTAAAAAATGACATTTCCAAAAGGGGAAAGGTTTCAGTATTTTCAATAAATTAAGTATTTTCAATAGACTCTACTCAGCAGATATTTCCTCTGACAAATACTTATTTTTCTTACTAGCTCTTTGATCAACACCGGTAAACCAGAATTAGTTAGATTTAAGTCCTTCTTGTGCATCATCTGAGCTGATTACATGTTTCAGCTGGTGCTTCCTTTGCATATCTTCTCTGAAAAAGAGTTGTCTGAGAGTTTCAAGGTCTCATGGAATAATCAGCATGATCAATAGAAAAGAAATAATCCCATCTGACTTGTAGTTAGGACAAAAATATATCTTTTTCCTTAAAGAAATAATGCTTCTACAAATTTATTCTTGCATGATTCATGTGAATATCCTTATAAATTCTATTTTTTATATACATCAAAAAAAGCTGCCTTGAAATTGGTATAAGCATCTGAAACATGATCACAATGCAGAAAATTAGGGAGAGGTAGAAGAAATAGTTATTCTGTCTAAAACTTTACCACTAAGAACTCTTGCAGGTATAATTTAATAGGTAGATATTTGAAAAGTATGCTATGTAACAGGTTCATTACTGTGAGTAAATAGATGAATACATAACATTGCCAATATATGTTATTGGTTTTGAAAACCCTGAAAGCATAAAAGAATATTCTAGATCAACCCAAAATAAATATTTAATGTAAGGAGATCCACATTTTTTAAATTATATCCTTTTTAAAAAAAATACAGTTCCCTAAAAGTGTCAATCAGTTGCAGTTATTTGCAAAAATAAACACTATGTCTTTTTGTAAAATGTGTGAAGGTGAGTGAGACTTACCAGCTGGTGAGACATTCCTGTGCTTCATATAATTATTTTTGGTTTTATCTAAATTTAAAAATTTCATGAAAAATACAAAGGATGCTAAGAACTGGAACATTCCTAGGGAGACACTTTTTCACTGGATTTTCTGCTTTGTCAAAATTAAAATATTATGTAGACATTGATTGTTTGAATTATTTTCAAAGTGATACTAAAATTTAGGAAGGGGTTGAGTGGACAGTTTAATGTTTCCTAGCAGGTCATGTATCCAGCTCCTCAGGCGGCTTTAACAGCTGATGAGTTAAGAGTGGTCTGCCAGAAAGGTCTCTGAATAAGTATCTCCAAGGTTTCCAAGGGCTTCAGCTCTACAAAGCTTATTCAGAGGACTAGCCATCAGTCAAAAACCTTAAGGTTTCTGGATTTTTAATTGTAGGGGAGCCCACCATGAGACTGCAAGGAGACCCTACATCTCCATGGTGGCCGCCCCAGGGCTTCCAGAGTCCTTCGCTCCAGGTTATCCCATGGTTTAGGCCCTCAGTTATACACTCCTTTTCACTGAGGATTTGAAAAATTAACTATTCGTTTTTAATTAATTAAAGACAAAATGACATTTTAAAGAGATGAAATCCTCTAAAACCAAAATAAAATGTTTCTGCATGTTATACAATGCTCTACTTCATTTATTCTTCACAGCCCTTGAATCAAGGAGACGCATATGATCAAATCCTGTGGAGCACACTGGCTTTGAACCATGTAGTCACTGAACATGAGCTGAATTCATGTAACTGTAGGATTAGACTTTGTATGAGAGGTTAATGAGGATATTTGCAGTAAGTAAATTCAAGTGCATGAAGTGAGTCCCAACACAAGAAAAAAATGCAGAGAAATAAGTAGATCATCAGGGTAAAAAGGAAAACAATAACAGTAAAAATAAAAAATGATCACTTTCAAATTACATTAATGAAAACTCAGCTTTAAAACAATATGTTGGCTTCTCCTCGTGTGACACATGAAAGAGAGCGGCCAAGTACCTACAATAACATAATTAATATAATTTTTAAAAATATTTTGCTGCAGCCTGATTCACAGGGAATAAAAGCTGCCAGGACTAATTTGGGATTGTGTACATTCGAAAGGTCAGGGATTTAAAGAAATAGAAAGGGGAAGAGAAACAGAAACTTAGCAAAATATTCAGAAATAATGACTATTCAATAACCACAAATCACTAGATTGAACAGAGAAATAATTTGTACCTTTTTTATTGCTTTATCTATAATGTTATCTCCAACTGGTATCAGAATTCCTCCAAAGATTGCCAGCACAGCACCGATGATGGCCCCAGTGAGGAGCCCACAGTTTCTGTTACAGCCCATTCCTCTCCTTTCTTAGGATGCGGACAGACAGTGTAAAAATATCCCTGCTGCAAGCCTCGAAGTTTTTTCCTCACTTCTTGATCCTAGTACACTCACCAGTCTTCCTGAGAGAAGCTGCTAATATAAAGAAAGAGTGAACAAAAACCACACTCCAAAGTTCAAAGTACTAAGTGCACAAAGTGAAGCAGATAAGAAGATAACATGTCAAAAACAGTCCCATTTATTAGAAAGGCAGTGCCAAAAAAAAAAAAAAGTCTGTATAGACATTCGACAAGGTAGTCACTTTCTACTGATATATGTGTGTCTGTGTGTCTGTGTGTTCTTTGTTTTTGGCTCCACTGCAAACTGACTCCAAACACCTTCTTAAAAATCTTTCTGTGCCAAAGGAGAAGGTTTTAGCCCTCAGCTTTTGTCACTACAATGCTAGTGGTTCCCACTTCAGGCAAAATCAGCAGTTTATAGTGTTCGTCTGGACTGCCCTGCCTGTTTCTCTGTGATACCAGCAAGGGAGTTCTCCAGGAAAGTCTTCGGCCAGCACATGGGTGGGAAGGGCAGCCTCTACTGAGAGGCAACAATGAGAAGCATATCCTTCTGCTCTGCTGGATCTAGAAGACATTTGTCAGCCTACAGTCTACTGCTGAAGGAACAAAATGTTTCAGTAACTTCATGGCAAAGGCAGGACTGGCTTTTTCTTGCAGGAATTGAATTGTTGCTCTCTGCTACTCATCCCACCGCCTACTTTCATTGATCTCAACTGCTTCGGAGAAAGGCAGACTTCTTAAAGCAGGTCTAGATTCTGACTTTCTAAAGGTATAACACCTTATATTTTGGGATAGAAAAAAATAAATTGACAATTATTCACTGGAATAGAGCAATTGCTGATAATAAGGGCTAACATATCTTAAGATCTAGCCCCTACTAAGAGATGTTATCGAGACAATCAGAATGATACCAGTGCTGATAGATATGGTGAGATATAAGGTCCAAGTGATAATTTGTCCTATTTGTTACTGGTTTCAGACAACTGAGGCAAAGAGCTGGCTAATTTTTAATTTATACTTGCTCAGAAATTCATCACGCCTACAGAACTCTCCAGTTTTTCACTTGCCTTAGACCTTCAGCTAATAGAAATCAGCTTTTTTCTATTTCAGGAGTCATTGTCCACAGTCCTTTTTATTCTTAACAATTTATATTCATTAACACATTGTGATTTTCTCTGAACCACTTTCAGAGCAAGCATTAGTTGTAAAGTTAATTAAGCTTTCAAGGCCAAACACAGAGAGCCAAGGAAAGTAGAAAGTTGTAGTGGAAGAAAGAGCTCAACCTGAATTCCCAGTTTGTTGGTGAGATTTAATGACCAAAATTAAATGGTCATTAAATGACTCTTGCACTTAAAACTAGACAGTGAAACAGGTGTAGGAATAGCCACATTTTTTATTTTTGTAAATGCCATTTGCAGTTATGAGGTCCTTTTTGGTTAAAAAAAGGACACACACAGGGACACATATAAGGTGCCATGGTCAGCAGGCTAAGTGCTCTTGTGCCACCCAAATTCACAAAAATTATATCACATCCATATCTGAGCTCAGATTGTTTCTTTTATTTGCACTGGAAAATCACTTTTTTATACTCTTGGACTAGCAGCAGTTTACGGCTTCCTTGATATTAACAATGACTATTTCTGTATATTTGAGTCTAGTTGGTATTTTAATTTTTCTCCTTGGAAACTTGCAAGGACAAGTAGAATGACTAACATACTACTTCTCCTTGCATTCATAGAAAAACACTTTCCACATAAAAGTCACCTAGTCCATCTGCCTGCCACAAGATGATTTTGTTTGGTTCCTAAATCAAAATTGCACTTTGATCCTTTTGCTCGCGCATACGAGAGACCGGGAAAGAAACTAGATTTAGCTCAAGTTTTATCCATAATCTCTTTCCTGACTTTATTATAGCCAAAAATCATGTCCGGCTGTTTTAGTGCTCATCTCTGTTGGGAGGACTAGCTTACAGTGTTTCTCAAGCTTTTTTATGAGCATACCCTGGGTAACCTTTTCTCACTCGACCAAAAGCTATTTCTGGTGATGAAAATCTCTGAAGAGATTACTGCCTTTTGGTTTCCAGCCTTGGCAAAACGCTGTGGTTGGCCATGGCTGGACTGAGAAGAGGCTTTTTAGAAAGAGAGGAGTCTCTTTACAGCTGTGCTTACAGCTTTGGCTTCTCCACTTGAGAAATTGGAACCTCTGGCTTATTAGTTGCTCTCCCCTTGATCAGATCTGTTACTGTGTACCATTGCATTCAACAGCAATAGAAACCGATCAAAGAGGTAATATTAAGGAAAAAATCAAGGTGCATTTTCCCAACTTGTCATGCAACTTACTGCCCTTTTCAAAAGGAAAACTGAAAGTTGGCTTGACTGAATGATAAAAATTCTGTGTTATTAAAGGCTCTTTAATGTATTGGACGAATACATAACATGGCTAATGGCAAAATTTCAAACAAACTCAAGTTAGAAATTCAAATTAGATCTGATGAGTCTTTAAGTGACAGTCACTGGGATAAATTCTTCTGTCTTTGTAGATGTGTTCAGATCAGTACGTTTAGTTTGACAAAAGCATAGCAAGTGTAATAGCACTGTGCAACTCATTCTGTAAGCGACTTGAGGATTTTAAAATCTGACTGCTGTTACACATCAGAACAAACCTAAAGAGGGGTAGAACTTCTCAATGAAAGGAAGTTCTGGGAAGCACAAATTTTAGGTTGATTTTTTTTTGCCAATGTGCTCTTTTGCAATTTTAGACATAATCAGGAAAATCAATCTATCCTAAAAGATTTTTCTAAAGCATGGAAATGCACATTTCAAAATTGCAAATGGAAATGAATTTTTCCATGATTGCTTAAAGAGGGCTTTTAAGCATTGTCAGCCTATATTTCTTGGCTTATATAGTGAAGCTTTCAAATTCAACATAAATATACATTTCAATGCAGTATATTTCCATTTAAGTTTCTACAAGCTGTTCCAATAGATTTTTGTGTTAGGCAGATTAGATCTTCCTCATGATCATTAGCAACAAAAAGCTAGAAAGAAACTTGTTCCTAATAACACATGCCTATTCCAACCTTTTGTAAACTGTAAAACATTCACCTTTCTCCCACCAAACACAATGCAATAACAATCTAGACATATCTCAGTTTATGCAGTTCAAATTATCCACTACACAACAGCAATGAAAAGCACTATCTGGCAAGATAACACTGGATTGTACATAGAAATCAATAAGCTATACTTACCTCTTACAACTGTAAGAGACAGTTACAACTGTCTGTAAGTTGCTTACAACTTAAAATGTGAAGATTAAAACACTAATTACCAAAAAGAATATAGTTGCATCAGGGAATTCATATTCAAGCAATAATTATTTATTTTATAAAGAACAGAATGTACTATACCAAAATAAAATATAATATCTGAGACTATGATATCATTTAATTTTAGACTTATCCACTTTATTAATGCCAATATTCATTCCAGTCTAGATTCTTGAGTATATACTTTTTAAAATTTTTTTAAAGTGCTTGTTAGAATTTTAACAGTGTAAACTGTCCATTCCAATCTCTGAAAAGACATAAATGTGGTTTATAGGCAGTAGAATAGGAGGAAGGATGCAAACTATTATTAAACCTTTTCTTCCCTACTTAACTTATATTTTTGCACATGTCAATTTAAAGCAAGCCCTTACAAAAAAAAAAATAGTATCTGCATTTTCTTGATGATTTATCCAGCTCTAATAGTAATTTTTAAACATTTTTTGTCACTTTAATTCTCATAGAAAATCTGATTTGCTGTCCCAAATGAGAGAAAACTAAATGGAGAAGAAGCAGTGTGTACAGTTAAAAGTACAATGGACTTTAAAAATTCCCATTAGAATTTCAACTACAAAATATAGTGTTTGTTAAAACATAATGTCAGATTCTCCAGGGTCAGAAGGCTGGATTAAAAAATCATGGAATTATTACGAGATACATTTTCAGTGAAGAGGTTCTTCTTTTTTCTAATCTTTGATGTACTTCAGAACTATAGTTTCAAGCGTTTTATCTACAACAGTAAAGGCTACAAAATGTCACTTTAAAAAGATGCCTTTCCTACAAATTCACATGCTTCCAGGAACTGTAGTTTCAAGAACATTAAATATCAAAAGACAGAGTGCAACTGGGAAAGCTAGCAATACTGAACATAGAATGCCATTACTAACATAGTAAAGAAGCCTTTCACTAACATATATACAATTTAACCGTGTTTTGCAAACAGAGCTTTGCAAAATCCTGTCATTTTATTTTATACTGCAAACAAACACTTTCAAGATTATTCCACCAACTGAATTTAAAAGTATTTTGGAGTAAAATCCTCTCATTTTAAATGTTGTATCATATGACTCACCTTGAATAAGGGCAACTGACTTTTCAGCTCAATGTACTAGTACTTAACACATGACTTGCATCAAGTTACGAGAAGACAAGCGGCTAAATCTCCCCACCAAGCACATATCCTCTACGCTCTGAGGGAGTGTTTATATATTCCAAAAGACGTCATTTCCCTGTTTTTCTTTTTGCCAGAAGTAAAAGTTAAGTTGTATTAGTGCTCAGGGAGCAGGGGGTCTATTTTTACAGTCTGACTAAAAGCCACTACCTACATCTCGTGGTAATATACTTAGCAGCTGCAATCTTTGTCAAATTTCGATCCAACTAAGTCAAAGGTCAAGGAGACAAAAGGGTAACTCGCTTATTTGCTTCCATTTCTTCTCTAATATCCATTTGCTTTAAAACTGTTCAGATTGGCAAGTCCTTTAAAATAGAGAACATTTTAAAATATTCTTTGACACATATCATCCCTTGCTATATAAGTAATGCCTTACCACTGCAGATATTGTCTGTCAAAACACAGGATAAACACCTTTGTGCTTTAATTATCATGATAGTGTGCTTTCAAGTAACAAAAATCAGGAAATGTCAGAAATATTTTCTGAAAGATATTTTTTCCACAAGTTCAATTGCAACATTTCCTCATGAAGTGCTCTTCCTCATTTATTGTAAGTTCAATGAACGTAGTTCCAAATGCTTCTTTCTCTTAATGTAGCTAAAGATCAGTTAGTTTTACACTGATACTTATGTAGACCAGAGTGTCACCTAAGCGCAGTGTCTACTAATAACTAACAATGATCAGTCTGGCAAATTTTTGCTAAAATATTTTTAAGATATAGCCTCACCTCTGTGTGAATCACATTAATGGATTGTTTGAACAGGTACTTCTGACAGTACCAAAAGGAAGTGATTTACAAGTGGTTTTTGTAATTTATAAGAGGCAAAAACATCCCTAGAAGTTTCTTCAGTCCAGTTTTTCATGGTATGATATTGGATACAGATTGTGATCCGCACGTTCATTATTTGCATTGTGTTTTGACTGATTGTTCAATGTTCTGTTTTTGACATTGTCCTATTTGAAAATTATGTTGTTATGGGAGGAGCTACATTCTTTTAATCTGCTTCTACTAAGTAAATCCATGATGGACAAATATTAATGAAGTTGATGTTTTGTCTTCTAATAGTGAAAGCAAGAGTGAAAGTGATCCAATCCTTTGAAAGCAACCTGTAGCACAGTCCTTGTACAAGGCTTTCTGCGAGGGAGAGTTGGTGACCCAGCTAGGCTTCAGTTTCATATACTTGAAAAGTGCAATAGATACACACGTAAGTCTCTGATTAAAGAGTGAAGTTTAACTGCTGACCGAAGCAGTCCTCCATACTATGGTTTCCATGCACTCGTTTTATGAATATTGTCATTAATTTTTTTCTATCAGACATCTCCTTGTATGATGTTCTCAAGAGGAACATTTTGTTAAGAATCCTCCAGCTTTCCTCTCAAGCCACACTACCTTCTTCACTACTGATTTGCCTCTTCTGAAAGGAAGTACTTCCAATTATTCACACCTGCCTGTGAAGATCTTCTCTAGCATGTTCATTTTCTCCATTTGCAGTACGTGGAATTTAATAAGCAATATTCATAAGGGAGGGGAAGATGTACTATCATTTTTTGATGAAACCCTAAAATGTAAATGGCCAGACGTTGCAGCAGACGTAATGAAGCTTGGATTGCTACATATACATGCAGAACTGGGTTAGCTAATTTTGTAACTTCCTGTTATCACATATTGGCAAATCTCTTTTGGCAGACAATGCTGGGTATTGAAATGAAGACTGCCAGGTGCAATCAGAACAACCAGCTAAAAGGATTTGAATCTGAGGGAGAAGTTGTGAATGTTTGGTTCTCAGCCATTTCTCTATTTCATTAAAAAAGCATAAGTGCTTAGTTGCTTTTGAGCTTCATACTTTTGTGTTCTCTGGCTTAATATTAGAGTTCAGAGGCTGCAGGGGAGGCATAGAGAGACACACAGTGACGGAGTGATGGCAAAAAAGCAAGCAGTTATGTTCTTCTGAAGAGTCTACAGTGGTGTGACAACACAAACTACAGCCACAAAGAGAAACTGCCAAAAAAGAAAAATAGTGTAAATGACACTCCTTTGGTTGTTGAAGACATAGAAAATCACAGGTAGTAGAGCAAGCTAAATGTGGTTGTTAACCCCACATGAACTCCACGTGTATTTCCTGAAATAAGCAAACTGCTGGAGGAGAATTCTGATGAAATGAATGTGATTCTTGGTTTTTCTAAGCATCCTATAGTGGGACCTTGTGGAAATCACTCTCCTTGAGTTGCTTTCTCAACACAGGGGGAGTTAATGGTGAGTGGTATCATCTCTATATATGCCATGAGATTCCTAAGAACTCAGTGCCCCTCCTCCCCAATTTTTTTAAGTTAAGATCCCTTGCCTCAGGGAATTTAGTGATTGTGCCATGTCATGGCACAGTCACGGCAGTTACAGGGTCTTTCTTCACCTGCCTGTTATGAAACTTGTAAAAACCTAATCTTAACATTAATCCTTTTGCCAGATGTGGCTGAGCTGAGCTAGCAGGTTAGAAAATGCCAAAAAACTTCTATTTACATGTTTTCACCCTCTCTTCAACTTTAAAAATAACAACAATAAAAAACCTTTTAGTCATTAGAGAAACTGCCAAGAGGAGGGGCAGATGATGTAATTCAAAAAGTGACTTTCTATAATCTTTCAGGGACTCTTCCTATTTTAAAATAAAAGTGTGAGGGATTATGTTTACCTTCTTTCTACGGTGAGTAAAGGCACAGATTTATCATCTATCCTACCTCTTCTTTAGCACCATCTAATGTGGCTTCAGCACTGCGTCCCCCAAATCTTCTTGCTACTGCAGTCCTCTTTGGCCTCTTCACAGTGACTAAGTCCCACAAGAAGAGTTACATTTTGCTCAGTAGTGAAAGGTTTAAAGCATTAACAAGAAAGAAAAATAAGAACAAGTCGCTCCCTGTCCCCAAATAAGCTCAACACTTTTGTATTCGACATGTCATGCACAGTTAGCTCTATAGAAGAAGATAATAAGGAGGAAGAATCACCAACAGAAGAAAATGTGCAATATGCCACCAGCTGGACGACAGTTGCTCTCCTCTGCATTTATCTGAGATACTATGAGGTGTTCCTTTACAGGGAGTGAAGTTCTGTATTCATGAAAGATAGTTTGATCTCCTATGGAGATGGAAACCTTCTGTGTATCACTCCATCATTTGAGAAGTAGACGTGAAAAGTATCATGTGAGCTTTCCACCCACAGCAGCCTCAACGATCTATTTCACCTCTATTACATAGGGGTCTTCTCTAGAGTAAACATTGCCTTCCTTTAGGTACTGCCCACAAAGCACTTGATTATATAATACCAAAATAATAATATAGAATTAATAACAATTATTTCTAAGTGATATGTTCATCATCTTTGTCTCAACTACTCTCACTGTGATTGGTATTTTATACTACCTCATTTACCAAAAGCCACAGGAGAGAACAGAGTTATATGACAAGTATAGTCACTTCACTTTAAAAGAAAGAAATGCAAAGGTATTTCAGTTGTTTCGTTTGTGGTTGAAATATCTCATCTCTAAGAAGCTAACTGAAAAGACAGAGGTAGTTTCATAGCAATAACTCTTTTCTTGGTTGAAGTTATCTACTTGTTGCAAATAAGTTTATCCAGGTAAAAATTAGGCATCTGGCCTAAGGAAGCTAAATTGCTTTCCTCTCCTCTCAATGGAACGGTGTAAGAACTTTTAGGGATTCAGCCTATCTACCTTAAATGCTTATTTTAGGAAAGGATTTTTCCTATCCTTTGGAGGTATTGATGTCTCTCCCTTAACTAAAAAAGATCTAAATGCCTTGCTGAAATCAGACATCTATCTTTTAGCTGGTTAATGCTAGAACAACGCCACTCAAAGTCCCCAGAGAAGTCAGCTCCTCCCCTCTTCAGGGTATCAATACCACAACTGCTCTACAAGGTCCCACCAAGTGCAAACAAATTATGAAGCAACTAGCAAATATAAAGAGAAAAATTCAAAGTATGTACCACCTGACTTTAATGGAGAGCTTGGATAAAGATTGCGGAGGTGTTGTATCATTTTTTGCTCCATCACATTGCAGACTATTGCTGCAGATGTGTTGGACCTCATGGCTTTCCAGTGGGATACTTCAAACACTAACATCAAGCAGTCTTCAGCTACCTGAAAAAAACATCCTCAAAAACATGCCTGTAATACCTGATCATCCATCACAAGAGCTTGGAAGACTCATTTCAAACAAGTGTGAGATACTTTGCTTTCATCAAATCACCCACCATGTAAGGGCTGTAGCTCCTTCGCTACCCACTAAGGACTCCTACCTGTAGTTCTCCCAGTTCTGTGAAG